TTGGATTTTTTGCCTTTGGAGGGAAAAATGGAGAAAATCTGTCCAAGATCTTGGTGCAACTGATTTTCAAAGCTCTTGACCCATTGTGATGTCTAAAATAAGTTTTATGAAGTAAATAGGAAGTTATTGAAGTATGGCTAGGGACTAGGGGAACTGCTGTTGCAGATTTCTTCCAAGAAAAGTTTCTCTTTCCTCTTGATTTCTTTGATTAAAATAATGCCACTTGGTTGCAACTTGCCTTGCCAACTTGCCATGCCTTTCAAATCCTTCACTCCTTCTGTATTTCTACTCATCATATCCTCTAAATATCATATCAAGAGTTAATAAAATGGTTGAGAATGACTTAGGTGGCTAGAAAGCTTATTTGTGACAAATTTGAGAATATGCATTTCAAGTGTTGGACCCCAACCTCCCTCCTTCGAAACTCCTAGCTCACAAATGTTATGGAGGAGTTCTTATACTTTTAGTAAATCCCTCATTATGCTCTACAACTTTCATGTTTTGGGATTTTTCAAATTCCAAGTGAAACTAGGTCAAAAACACCCTTGAAGTTGGCTGAAAATATGACTTGAAAAGTGCTAAAACCATGAAATTTTACTTAATGTTTTCCCCTCTTGTATTGATTTTGATTATAACTCCAAATCTATTCATTTTTTGTATATAGGTCACTTTTTAACTTTTGTAGAACTTGTCAAGACCTTTCCAACAAGATTTGAACCACTCCAATTGGATGTGTGGTCAAGAAGTTATGGTCTTGCCCCTTTCAAAACCCTAATTTCCCGATTTTTCGATTACTCTTCAATCCTTGATCCAATGGTCATCAAATTTCATGAATAGATGTGATATAACATTAGGAACATTATTGCCTACTATTTTGGGTCAAAACCCTTTTGGTCAATGAGTTGACTTTTTGGTCAGACGAACTGATCGACCGGAGAACCCCGAATCGACTGTTGGTGTTCTGGGTCCTCTGAGGTCTTGAAATTTCTTGAGTGGACTTCACTAAGTCATATAAGCCTCATGGACCATTATTCCACCATTGGAGTACCATTTAAATCAAAAGTCAAACCACCGTTGACTTTTCCTTATCAGAAACCTTAATCGGGGGTTCTGGACTGCACTGCTCTTTGGGTGACAACCTCAAATTGGATTCATACTTGATCCAATATAGTGTCTTTGATGATGTGGGGACTTGTTTCATGGAGAATAAATCCAAGACATTGACTGATCAAACCATCGAAACCCCGATTCCTGAATGTATGGAACCCTAATTCACTTGTATCTTGACAAAGACAAACTCTGAAACAGGTTAATGTTAGATAATCAATGATGATGCTCCTAGAATGATGATGAAGATCTAAGGGTCAAAATTTGGGGTATAACACTCCTTAAAAAAATGGCTTAGCTGAGAGATTTAATCAAACAATCCTTGAAAGGGTTAGATGCATGTTGATTAGTGTTGGATTGAAGAAGGTGTTTTGGGCAGAGGCTGTTTCAGCAGCAGCTTATTTGATAAATAGATGTCCCTCGACTGCCTTGGGAACGAAGATACCTGAAGAAGTTTGGTCGGGACATCCACCTAGTCTCGACAGACTAAGAGTATTTGGCTGCGTGGCGTATGCTCACATTAGGCAAGACAAGGTCGAATCCAGAGCTCCGAAATGCATGTTCATGGGATACCCTGAAGGAGTCAAAGCTTATAGGCTATAGTGCCTAGAGCCATGTCACAGGAGGTGTATCACCAGTCGAGATGTAGTTTTCAATGAAGCAAAGATGTCTTTCAAGAAAATTGATGGTGCTGATGAAGAGCTAGAACAGGGAGAGATTCCTGTTAAGGTGGAGCATGTTGATGTTGAATTGCATATCCCAGATGAAGTCGAAAAAGACGCAGAAGATTTGTCGAAGATGAGGAAACTGATAATGACTACCTACTAGAAAGAGTCATGTCGAGGAGAGTCATCAAGCCACCTCAGAGACTTGGGTATGTGAATCTTATAGCTTATGTCTTAATCTCTGCAAGTGAGGTTCTAGACGAAGAACCTAGGGACTATAAGAAAGTTATGAGGAGTCAAAAGAAGACTGAATGGATGAAGGCCATGGATGATGAGATGAAATCTCTTCATGATAACAACACCCGGGAACTGATCAAGAAACCTGCTGGAGCCAGGTTAGTCAGTTGTAAATGGATTTTCAAAGTTAAGGAAGGAATCGAAGGAGTGACGTCGAAGAGATATAAGGCAAGATTGGTCACTAGGGGGTTCATTCAGAAAGAAGGTGTCGACTTCAAAGATGTGTTCTCTCCTATTCTGAAGCACATATCCATTCAAATGTTGCTTGCCATAGTGGCACAGTTCAACCTTGAACTGGAACAGATGGATGTGAAGACTGCGTTCTTGTATGGTGATCTACATGAAGCAATCCTTATGAGGCAACCTGAAGGGTATGTCGAAAAAGGGAAGGAAGATTATGTGTGCAAACTGAATAGATCTTTATATGGACTGAAACAATCTACTCGACAATGGAATAGGAGATTTGACAACTTCATGACACACATAAGTTTCATTAGAAGTCAGTTCGACCACTGTGTTTACTTCAGATTTTGATCGGGTAATTCATTTTTTATTTTGTTGCTCTATGTGGATGATATTCTAATAGCAAACAACAATGTCGAAGATGTAATGAGGGTGAAGACTGAACTCAATAAGGAGTTCGACATGAAGGATATGGGAGTTGCGTCCAGGATTCTTGGGATTGACATCCGAAGAGATAGAAAGCAGTTGAAATTATGCTTATCTCAAGAGGCATACCTATGGAAGATTCTCGAAAAGTTTGGTATGTCGAATTCAAATCCTGTTGTGACTCCGACAAACCCTCAATTCAAGCTGAGTATAGATCAGTGTCCCAGTACTGATGTCGAAAGAGCTTATATGAACAATATCCCATATGCTAATATAGCGGGTTCTTTGATATATGTTATGGTCTGTAGTAGACCCGACATAGCATATGCAGTAAGTCTTGTAAGCAGGTACATGACAAATCCTGGAAAGGCTTACTAACAAGCATTGAAGTGGATTCTAAGGTACATAAATGAGTCTCTGAATAGAGTCCTAATTTATGGTGGAACCTTGGGTAAAGATAGTAAAGCAGAAATCGAAGGATATGTCGACTCTGATTATGCAGGTTGTATGGATTCCAGAAAATCTATTTCTGGATATGTGTTCATTATGTTTGGGACATCAATCAGTTGGAAAGCAACACTTTAGAAGGTCGTTGCCTTATCAACCACTGAAGTGGAATATATCGCCCTAACTGAAGCTGTGAAGGAAGCATTGTGGCTTAAAGATTTTGCAAAGGAGCTGAAACTTCAAGGTCGAGTCATCACTGTTAAATGTGATAGTCAAAGTGCAATACACCTGTAAAATTTTTTGCCTATCGTGAGCGAACCAAACACATTGATGTGAAGCTGCATTTCGTCAGAGGGGTAATCGAGCGTGGAGAAGTCCAAGTACTGGAGGTTTCGACAAATCATAATGCTGCTGATATGATCACCAAGACGTTGCCCAGCTGCAAGTTTTTCCACTATATGCAGTTGATAAAGCTGCATGAAGAAAGCTAGTTTCTTGATGTTATAGAGTTAGATCAAAGGTGGAGATTTGTGAGATATTGGATCGAACTCTAGTATGAAATTAAGTATGAGGTCGAAGTCTGTTCGCATGTTGTTGTCAGAGTAATGCGTGTTGTAGCCGAAATTTGTTCTAACATGCGTTAGTCAATATTGATAGGTTTGTTAGCATGTTGAATTAAGTCTTGTTTGTAAGCTCAATTGTTTAAGTTAACTTGTAATGGGTAATTGTTAAAAAAGCTCATTAGATTAGTATGCTATTTTTCTTATAAATAGCATGATAGTCTCTCATCTTGATATAAGAAAAAATAGGAAGATAAATTTCTAATTTAAAGAGAGATGTTATTTTGTTATTCTTGTATACTTGTAATCTTATTTCTAAGAGAAAGGAAAGAATAACAGTTTATAACCAATCCTTATTGCTTTACCTTGTTTTCTTTGTTAACTCTAACCCTTGTGTGTTTCTTGATCATAAAGAAACCATTTATATTTTGTTTCAAAACATCTTATTCACAACAATTATAAATCATAATTAAAATATATTTAAAACCTTTTTTTTACATATTTCTTATATTCCTTTAAGATCAATAAATTTCAACAGAAATATAAATAGTTAACAAGAATTCGAAGTGTAATAACAAAAGAAAAAGAAAATATATTTATCACACCAATAAATTGTAAAATAGATTGAAAGCTAACATAGAAGCTCCACTTTCAAACTTCACCTATAATCAATTTTGAGCATTAAAAATGCTTCACTTTTTTACAATTCACGTTTAACATTTAAAACGCTAGTTTAAGGCAATTGAAAGCTCATCCAAGTGCACTAGTTATAGCAAAAGAAAGGAACAGCCTCCTAAATCTATTGGCTACAATATGTTACAGCATCATTTGATAAACCTTGTAACTTAAAAGTTCAAAAGTCTCAACACATAAATAGATGAATCTATAGTTTTTCACTGTGACAAAAATATCAAAATTAAACTAGTATAGTTTTTCCCTCAGAATTTACATCCAACTATATGAATCTATGACACCTAATAAAGAGGGGAGAAACTAAAAAAAAAGAAGAAAAAAATCGAAGTTAACCATTTTTTGTCGACAAGATAGAAAATTAAAGGTGAAAAAAAATGAACTAAGTCGTGATTATTTTCGCCGTCTACTTCAGGACACACTCTTGTTATGTGCCCAAACAACATATGCAGACAATGACAGTATCAAAAGCTTTCTCCGGTCAAGGTCAAGGATTTTCTTTATGTTATCTTCCTAAAATGCAGGTCTGTCGTGGAGCAAGTGTTCCATGCAATATCAGATTCTCTCAATTGAGTTCTCTCAATGAATAATTTCTTGTATGCTTCTGTGAAAGCTTGTCTCATCATCATTTTTCAAATTTAAACCACTCCCAGTTTGCATAAAGTGCTTCATTTTCAAATGGCAAATCACTTGTCGGCAAAGGTGCTCTTGTAGTGACAATAGGAGGACAATAAGGTAGCTTTTGCTTATATTTCTGTGCCATCATATCAGCCTCCAAAAATACTCTCTTTTGTAAGGCCAAAACATTAACAAGAAATTATTATGTGCAATCTAATTAAAATCATAGAAGAAATAATCAGGGTCGTCTTTGAGGGCGTGCTAGGCAGACTACAGCACAGGGCCCAAAGTTTAACACGATTAAACCATGGCTAAAATGGGTCTGATAAAATATTTTTCACGATTAAACCATGCAAAATAAGACCCCTATTTGATTTGCCACACTTCAACCGTGGTTAACATACACATACACCGGACTTCTGAAAACTTAAGACGGCCCTGATAGGAATAGAACAGACAAATAAATAAATACCTCTTTGTTTGAAAGAAAGAGGCCAGGTTCACTTTCAAGGTCTGCAATGCTGCATGGTAAGAAAAATAACTTCTCGTCAGCAGCATGTTCTTACGTAACAAAACAAGCTTTTGTTTTCCACCATAAACAAAAAGGAAGTTAAAGTCAACAATTTTCATTACCTTAGAGCAATTTTGTCGGGGAACATTGACCTCACGACAAGAACCTTAACCTCCTCATCCACAGAAAGTATGTCACTGACAGAAGTAACTTCAGCTCGTGTGATATTTGAAACATGCAACAACCCACTGAAACAAACCCAACAGGTTCATCCAATGAACGAAATCAACTTGAATTGAGTTATATTTTCAATGGTTTGTTATCTATATCCAAGCAGCTACTCACCTTCTGTTACTTTTTCCGATCTTAATTTGTGCTCCATACGGATAGATCTTTTTTACTGTTCCGACTATAACTGTCCCTTCCTGAACATATAGCTTTTCCTGCACATCATTTTGCAATATCAATACTTAGAAACTGTGGAACGTTGATGCAAGGAACCAACGAAAAACCAGAAATAGACACAAGTTTGAATACTAACCCAAGCTTGTTTTTCACTAAGTACCAAAGAGTTTTTAGCTTCATCTATTCGAGTAATTTCTACAAATATTCGGCGTCCCACCTACATAATTATAATCAAGTATTCACAAGAGCTTATAAGATAAGCAACTTTCCTATTAAGAAAAAACGTTTTTTTTTCTTGGCAAGAAGAAAGTTCCAAAACTGTAACTTACGTTTTCTTTTAAGTCGGTAAAGGTATTTACTTGTGTCACAAGCTCAGCTTTAGGTAGGAAAGCCCGCAAACCCTGCACATCCAAATTCACGAAGAAATAAGCAATACTCAAATGCGACGAGAACATAAATTTAAAGTTGGTGAACAGACCTCAATCGTTGTTAACAAGCCGCCAGTATTCCATTCTGTAATTCTAACCTCAATAGCTTGATTGAGCTGTTGTATCTGCCCCAAACATTAAAAACAGAAGATTAAAAACTCACAAGCATGAGATAATGAGCATCAATTTTTAACGGCATAAGCACTTGTGAGACTGTTTGGGAAAACTTATGTAAATAGGTTATGCCATGTTTACTAGTTTTCAGCTTATTTCAATAAGTTCTACGAAATACCTTATAACAACACTTTATAGCCTAAAAGAAAACAATTTGACTTTATTTTATCTTTTGTTACAAAAATAGTTTACACATAAGCACTTGAATGATAAGCTTTATCCAAACGGGGCCAAAATCGATGCCATTAATCATCATCGAAGAACCAATTCGGTGTTGCGAATAAATGGAGAACAAATATGGTTGCATGTGTATATTTGAAATCAAAACTACGGTTTTCTAAATAATAAACTCTTCCAACTAGTCATTAGAATTAGAACTACTTAATCCAACCGATAAAGCCGACATGGAAGTTACAAACATGGAATATCTACTAAACTAGACATCGGATAAGGATAAAGAGGAACGAAAGAATGATAAAAACCTGCCTCACTCGACGCCAAGCAATCCGGCGAAAAAGTCTTCTAGTAGAAAGCAACGGCCTACCACTAAGTGTTCTACCTAAAACCTCGGCAAACAAAACGGTTCCGGTCTCTACAATAGGCCTTCCAGGCACTGATACTCCACTCATTACTTCATCATTCTTTATAATTCCCATCTTCCCTCTAACCGTAAAATCCTCGGCATCCCTATTCACATCACATAACAAATTCTCCATTTCTTTACTATTCAAAGGAAGCACTTCCTTGGTTAACATTGTACCTAGTAAGTCTGCCCCAACATTCACATCAAGCTTGTTTTCATTACCAGAAACAACAACACCAACCACAAAATCCCCGGGTTTCGGCTCATAGTACTCAACATTAACCTTCTTATCATCATCTTCCTTTTCATTCTCATCACTCACATTATCTTTTTCTTCAGAAACTTCCAATACCTCATTATCTTCTTCAACTTCCTTCACATTATCCTTACTCTCTTTGAAAAACTTCAAAAACGGCGCTAACTCCTCCTCTTCCGAAGGTTTCTCTTGTTCTATCTCAACTTCTAAAACAGGTGAAGGCTTGCTCAACAGCTCAATACCTTCAAGCTCTTGAATTTCATCATCAATGGCATCTCGAGATGAATCACTCGAAGCCCCATCAAACCCACCATTCCTAGAGCAAAACTTGAAGCGGGCACCACTCAAAATCGAAACTTTCTTAGTAAAGATTGAACCATGAGGAGTGGAAAGAAGAATATTGGGAAAATAACAAAATTTATGGGGGGTTAGAGATACTTGTTGGGTTGAGTTTGTTAATGGCTTCTTGCTGAAAATGAAGGAGTTGCAGGTAAAGAATAAGGAAGAGTTACAAGGATGAAGAAGAAAAAATGGCATCTTGGTATGGTGAAGCTGAACAAAGCATTACCTTTGGTTTTCAAGCAGACAACGTTGGTTTTGTTTTGATTTATCCTTTTGAGGTTTTCTTGGTCTCTCTTCTCCTTGATATTTCTACTTTCTTTTTCTTTTTTTCATTCAATTTTGATAGCCAGATAAATAATTACAGGGTAATTGAGGGAAATTCTTTAGACCCTTTATTCAAATTATACATGGATTAAATATGTTTTTAATTCTTTAATTAGACCATAATTTAATTTTAATCTTTATAAAAAAAAATTTGTTTAATAGTTTTTTAAATATTTTTTTTTTATAAATTTAGTTACTCCAATTAATTTCTACTATCAGAGACCGACGTGGCAAAGACACATGACATAACTTTTGCATTTTACCTAGTGATGATTTGACCAATATGAATTAAGATGAAATAAAATATATTTATGTGAAGTTAAATTTTTTTAATTAAGTTAGAAAACCAAACATTAGAAGCACTACACCATTTGATTAACTTTTGAATATTCACCATTTGAAACCCTACCAACTCAAGAATCGTCTTCTAGCTTTATTGTATTTTGGCTCATTCGTCTTCTAACTCTACTGTGTTGAAATCATGTTGTGTGTTGTTGGATTCAATTGCGATGAGTGCATTTTGCGTTAGTAGTTTGATGTAGATTTTCAATTTGCGTGCGACATTTCGATTCTGTTGTCACCATGTTTAACCGAGATTTATATTGGTAGTTTGACATAGCGTCAATTTGCGTTTGATTTCACTACTTTGTATTTCATCACGCGACATTACTTTCATTATGATACAATTCGTTGTGTTTAATTTGATTGAGATTATCACGCTTCGCGCTAGGACCTTGTTGTTTGATTCGTTTTGGCATGTAACTTTTTAATTTCATTGAATTTGAATCGGGTTATAATTCTATGTTGGCAGCTTTGTACTGCACGCTCTTGCGTTGCTTGAACTCAATTCGCGCCATCGCATTAGAATTTGCGACCTCGCGTTACAATTCGCTGCCTTGCGTTACAATTTTCTCCCTTGCGTTAGAATTTGTGACCTTGAGTTATGATTTTCTACCCCGCGTTAGAATTCACGCCATCACATTAGAATTCGTGCCCTTACGTTACAATTCATAGTTTTGCGTTATAATTCGCGACCTCGCGCTATAATTCGCAGCCTTGCGTTACAATTTGCGACCTCGCGTTATGATTCGCTACCTCGTGTTGCTTTCCGTTATTTTGCGTTTTGATTTAATCGAATTTAAATTCTTTTTACAATAAAATCGAGTGAAAAAAGATTGATTGAGCGTATGCCTCTTTCTTCCCCAAGTATTCAAACACTGGCTGTAGAGTCTGTTGTTCGAGTACTTGCCACCTTTTGACAATTAAATCGATTACTTTTTAAATCAAAAGAAAATCATTTTCTCAAATAAACCAGATGAAAATGGACTAATTAGTAGTAGGCCTCTTTTTTCCCTGGGTGTTTGGATACTGATTGTAGAGATCGTTGTTTGAATACTCGTCTTTCGTGCTAAAATACAATAATTAACTGAATTTAGTCTGTTCTTTCATAGAGGAAAAATGATTATTTAAGCGTAGGGCTCTTTCTTCCCCGAGTATTTGGATATACTGGTTGTAGAGCTCATTGTTCGAATACTCGTCTTTCGTTAAAGAACCATGACTCGATTCGCCTCACATCTTTCACAATAAATTTGGATGAAAAATGACTAATTGGGCATATGCCTCTTTTTTCCCAGAGTATTTAAATATTGGTTGTAGAGCTCACTGTTAGAATACTCGTCATTCACCTAAAAATAACTCAACCAATCAAACTATTTTTTCTGCCTTATCACGATGTCAAAACCTTTTCACAAATGAAAGATGCTTTGTCTATTCTTCGACGATGCAACCAAATCTTCGTTCCTGCCATGCGCAAGAAATAAGAATGCTTTTCGTTTGAATTTGACGAGAACATAAATTTGTGAGATTCCAAATTATGTATCCATTCTGATGCGATGCAATTATTCGCTTCTCCTTGTTTTGTGTAGCAAGCAATTTTTTCCATTCAAATGCAATTAAGTATTTTTCATTAAAATTAACCAACCCACAAACATTTGCTAAACAGAACTATGTAACCTTGAGTTCTCCATCACATTTGGGGATACATAGGAGTGAGATTTAATGTCTCGACAGACACCATAGTAAAAAAAAACTTATTTTTAGTCTTTTTCTCTTTTCCTCTCAAATTTTGAATAATTAGAAGAAACAAACGAAAGATAACATTTTATTTGCAAAACTAACTAAATTGTTCTCGTTGAGTACAGAGATGTGAGAAGTGATAATACCTTCCCTTCGCATAACTGACTCCCCAATCCGAATTTGGTTGCGACGATCATTTTCTTTTTCTTTAAGGGTTTTATCGATATTTTCCCTTTTCTTTTGGAGTAAATGAACTTCGATGGCGACTCTGTTATTATTTCGAGTGTGCGAGCACCCGTGCTATTTTTTGCGTCGCGGCAGTAGGGATGTCAGATTAGGAAAAAAAGTTGCAAATAAGTGTAAGGTTGTTTTCAAGGACAAAAAATATGTAGCTATACTTGTATAATAGAGTTTTAACCTCCACAATATTTAAGATCAAGACATTATTTCACAAGCACAAATATAGAAGAATTTTTTTTAATAAAAGCGCCAAAGCATATTGTGTTGCAAAAGTGATTGTTGATGGGTTGAATAACAATACCAAGATGAAGTTAAATGATGTTAGGCTGAGGTATGCCATTAAAAGCCCTGGTTGTAGAGATTTTAAGGCACATCAACTTGCTAGCCAAATTGTTGAAGACGACTCTAGTAAGAAATATGGCTTGTTATGGTCATATGGTGTTGATTTAAGGAAGGCTTCATCAGAAATCACTTCCAAACTCAACATTAATTGTCCAACATCAGGGTTGCAACCAAGGTTTTAAAGGTGTTACATGTATTTTGATGGGACAAAAAAAGCTTTGAAAAAAGCATGCAAACCCTTTATAGGTTTAGATGGATGACTTTCAAAGCTCAAATATGGTGGAATATTACTAATTATTGTCGGGAGAGATCCTAATGATCAGTATTTGCCTCTTATTTTTAGAGTAGTAGAGAATGAAACCAAGGATTCATTGAGCTGGTTTATTAAGTTGATAATGGAAGACATTGGTGAAACTAATCGGTCTTCCATTTTTGACCAGGAAAGATAAGTCTTACTCTTACTAACTATTTTTTTAAACCTAATTTGCTATGTTTATAGAGTGGTTTCATTTCTTATCATTGAAAGGGTTTGGTTTAAGTATTTAAGGAGTAGTACCCAGGATATGAACATAAATTTTGACTAAGGCATTTGTATTCTAACTTCACGAAGAAGTTTGAAGGAGGAACTTTGTTTAGATATCTCATGATGGTTGAAGCAAATGTAAACACACTTTGAAGCGCATGAATCGATGATGCTTGAAATAAAGGAGGTTAGTTTAGCGGCATATGAATGGTTATAGGTTATTCCCAAGAAAAAAGAGGGACAAACTAATGAATCTCAAAACAAGAAACTTAAAGGGCCCTTGAAAACATCTTGAATATTTATCGGTGATTCTTGAAGAGGATGCAACTGTAGATGACATTAGAAGTTAAAGGAAATCTAAAAGTTGGGCATACATTTGCAAGGTTTTAACTCAATGAAGACTATGCTGATATTTTTTAATTACTATTGATATTTTTGAACATGTTTATCATCATGAATTATAAGCACTATGATGTATTTTTATTTGTCTATGTAATGTAAGGATTGAATGGTGTTGTATAACCAATATGTTATAAAACTTGTTGCAACTATTTTCTAAAGAATGTACCACTATTTATGAGAATCTTCTTTGTAAATTTTGGTGCCAATTGTTATTTCATTGTTGTATAACAAATCTATTTGAAATATTATGGGATATAAATATCACCATAGTTGTACTATGATAGATATAGGAAAAACAATGCAAAATACGAGGAATACTATGTCCAGATTTCTGCCAATACTTTGTCAATATTAAGACAATTATAGGTCATACTATATTCAGGTTTCTAGCCATCCTATGCCAAAATTAAGCCAAACAATGCAATTCTAATTATAGTTATAGGCCATATAAAGAGATAAAAATTTAACAAAACCAATCAATATTTTCTTAAGATACAAAGATACAAAACTTGTTGCAACTATTTTCTAAAGAATGTACCACTATTTATGAGAATGTTCTTTGTAAATTTTGGTGTCAATCGTTATTTCACTGTTGGATAACAAATCTATTTGAAATATTATGGGATATAAATATCACCACAGTTGTATTATGACAAATATAGGCAAAATAATGCAAAATACAAGAATATTATGTTCAGATTTCGGCCAATACTTTATCAATATTAAGACAATTATAGGTCATACTATATTCATATTTTTGGCCATCCTATGCCAAAATTAAGCCAAACAATTCAATTCTAATAACAATTATAGGTCATACAAAGAGATAAAAATTTACCAAACCACTCAACACTGTTTCATTAAGAATAACTTTGATTACATTTTGATGGATTAAATGCCAATTAACACTAATTAACAATATTATATTTCAATACACTCATCGGCAATTACACTTCATTATCAAGTACATGTTGAGCATACACAAACATAAAAAACATATCAACTTCAATTTTCCAGCAAATTCCTTAGTTTAGTTTAGTGTATGAAATATAAGCACTATGATGTATTTTTATTTGTCTATGTAATGTAAGGATTGAATGGTGTTGTATAACCACTGTGTTATAAAACTTGTTGCAACTATTTTCTAAAGAATGTACCACTATTTATGAGAATGTTCTTTGAAGATTCATACAACTCCTTCAAAGTTTCAACAACTTCCAAATCCTTTATCTTTCTCCTATCTTCATTTACAAATTCATAAACATATTTTCTTTGTGCTATGCTTCACACCATAAGAATAAATTACAAGTGTCATTACTCTACAACCATAGACTAACACGTTTCACTATAATAAAAATCAAATATAGTTTGAGATGAAGAAGACATGAACTTTCCAAAATTGATATCTCCTGAAAAGTATTCCTTTGTTAGTTTCGTTCTTGCAATGGTATGACACCATACGAGCATGACACACACACACACAATCTTCTTGGACGACTACTCAGAGATGTGGAATGAAAGGAAACATGTTTGCTTTTCCTTGAAATAGAAGCCAACATTGAAACATGTGCTTAGAATGGTTGATGAGAATGAGTTGCAAAGAATTGTGAGGGAGAAGAAGATAAATTTTATGGAAGAAGAAGACCGATTTTTGGGAAGAACAATACCCTTAGGTTGACAAATGAGAGAGGAAATGTTTCAGAGTCGTTCAACAAATCAACATAAAACAAATATATATAAAAAATATAATCCCAACGTTATTATGCCACATAAAAAAATTTCTCATGTTTCGTTGCATATAAGCTTTCGTTAGGGGAATTTATCAAGAAGAACAAATATTATGGACGAAAAAGATTTGGAGGACCATTGTTCGGAGGATTTTTTTGAGGGACTAAAACTAAACTATGGATATTTATATGGATTTGTCGCATCTAAAAAAAACGTGATCCTTCGCGAAGCGTTCGCACACTCGCGAAAAAGATGTTCAAACAGAGTCGTCGCTGAACTTTATTTTTCCAAAAGGGGAAAGGGAAAATATCGATAAAGCCCCTAAAAGAAAAATAAAATGGTCATTGCAACCAAATTTGGGTTCGGGAGTCGGTTATGAAATGGGAAGGTATTAACACCTCTCACGTCCTCTGTGCCCAACGGGAACCTCTTAGTTAGATTTACGATAGAAATGCCAACTTTGTTAATTGTTTCTTCTACTTAATGAGCAAGATAAAGAAAGAAATGATGGTTTTTAAAAGGGGAAGTTTTATTAAAGGGATACTAGACAAGATTTCAAAATCTTGCTTCTACGTATCTTCAGGTGCTATGAATAACTCAAGGCTATATAGTTATATGGGTTGATTTCTTTTGAGGAGTGATCCTTTAGATATATCGAGTGACTAAACCTTTATTTGCTGCTCGCTCTTGGAGGAAAAAGTATTTATTTGTTTCATGTCGATATGAATAAAGCATACTCATTTCTAAAAAAGTTTTCGGAGGTGTACAAGGGAGAAAAATAAGTTTGATTAGTTTGAGTGTTTTGTTGGATGATGATTACTCGAATGGCCAAGTAAGGCTACTCGTATCCAAATCATCGAGAAGAGGAATAAAATGCTCTAGACCATCTCCCTTTTCATCCTTAATTGCAAAAGGATTTAGATAAGGTTAATATGTTTTGAACGGGCGACAAATACTCGAGTGGCCGAGTAAGTTTACTCGTATTCAAACACTCGGGAAAGGGAATATAAGGCTCTAGACCGTCTCCTTTTGCGTCCAAGTTAGTACGAAAATGAGTTTTACCTAAATTTGATTATGAAAGTGATTTGAGGTGAATCAGATTAGATGCTTTTAATATATGGCAATTTCTCAAAAGGCAAAGTAAGGCTACTCGTATCCAAACAATCGAGGAGAGGAATTGAAAGCTCTAGACCATCTCTTTTTTTTCACCTTTTTGAAATAACGCTTAAGTATGATTTAGGTATTTTAGTTTGAATTGGATAAAAGACGTTTGATGTTTCATCAAAGTTTTTATTTGCGTTTGAACTGAAATAAGATGAAATTATTTGAGGGTTTCTTTTCTAAAATCTTGATAAATGGAAATGATTTTTATTTGGGAAAAATAATCAATGTTGGATCGAGTGTTTATTTTTGTTCTTTTCTGGAATATTTATGGGAATGGGGGTACAACTTGTCAAGTGGGGATGCACAATGTGCTAATTAACACTGCAAGCTTAATAAACAAACGTAATCAGCAAAATCTAAACAACATTGAAATTAATGTAAAATACATCAAGGAAAGACAAATATTTTGAAATAAATCAGAGTTTTAAACTTATTGAAATTTAGCGCTATGTTAAATAATAGTAAAGCGATTCATGTAGGAATCACTTTATGGGTAGGTCGATCAACAAAAATTTATGCAATTAAGTAGTTCTTGAAATCAAATTGAATTTTAATTACGAAACTGCAATGCATATGTGAAAAACCAATGTTTTCCAAAAGACTTTTTTAAAGGAAAATTAAATAACAAACAAGCTAAAGAATTTAGTGTTATGTTAAGCAATTGTACAATGATTCATGTAGGAATCGCTCTATGGGAGGCCAGTCAATAATACTCTATGCGTTTAAGCAGTTTTTGAAATTAAATTGAATTTTAATTCCGAAACTATTACGCATCTATGAAAAAATCGACAAGACAAAAACATCGAATTTTCTTTTTAACAATTAAGAATAAACATTTTAACCAATTAAATAAATATAACAATAATAATAATCAATATAATAACAACAAATGATAAATAATTATCAATATTCAATAATAACAATAATCACTATAAATGACAATAATAAATAATAATAATAATAATAATAATAATAATAATAATAATAATAAAAGAAAAAGAAAATGATAATCAATATGGAATTAACAACAACAACAACAACAACAACAATAATAATAATAATAATAATAATAATAATAATAATAATAATAATAATAATAATAATAATAATAATAATAATAATAATAATAATTTTTAAGGAGCTGTGGTTGGGTCTAACTCAACCCTATAAAACCGTTGGTAGGATGAGGGCTGCCCCACTTATAAACACATGTTCATACCATATATTTTTGATATGAGACTCTTAACACACCCCCTCACGCTCAAGACTGGACAATTGGAGTGTGGAAATAAATAATGGGTGACTCGATTATGGAAACCATGATAGGTGGTCCACCGGATATTAAATGAGGCTCTGATACCATGTTAAGAAAGTGTGGTTAGAGTTTAGAAACACGATTGAATGAGGGATTTTATATTTAAGGACAAATAAAGGCATGAAATTTATGAGGTAACATGTCATGAGCACCGCATCCCCCAAAAAGCGGAGAGGAACATTACTGTGGAGAGGTAAGGTCTGAGTAGTTTCTACGAGATGGCAATTTTGCACTCGGCTGGCCCATTTTGTTGGGGTGTATGTGGCAAGATGTTTGGTGCAGAATACCCTTGGATGACATAAAAATTTGAAATTGTT